AGCTAATAACTTGCACATCCTGTTGTTGGCATAAACGTTTTCACTGATTCTAAGTGCAGTGTGATTACTCTTGAACATTTTTTGTTGTGAACACTGTAGGATACATACATAAGCTAATAACTTGCACATCCTGTTGTTGGCATAAACGTTTTCACTGATTCTAAGTGCAGTGTGATTACTCTTGAACATTTTTTGTTGTGAACACTGTAGGATACACACATACATGAGCTAATAACTTACACATCCTGTTGTTGGCATAAACGTTTTCACTGATTCTAAGTGTAGTGTGATTACTCTGAATTTTCCAAGAAAACATTCTAGCATATATGATCCGATATATTTGACATCCTGTTCTCTAGGATTATCGTATTATGGCAATGTCGCGTAAACAGTTTACTGACTCAAGCAGCGATTTATAGGTTTATTTTCAATGGTGTTCTACTTTAGTCGTTGACAGTAAAATAAACACAAAATAAATGTGAAATGTTTAACAGTTCATACTCATACGAAAAGTACTTTGAAACTTCATGACCAATAATAACGAAAAAAAGGCACAGCTGCTCCTTTTATTTCTAATTTTACAACTTATCTTTTCATTATACTTTCGGGATTTGTCTACAGGACGAAGACTCAAGTATATCATTAAATAACTGATCAGATATAGTTTTACTGAAAAAAAATGTTTGAAATGTATTTAGGAGGTTTTAAAGATTACACAAAAGAAATTTGAGATTTTTGGGATGAAAAATAGTATTTTTAATCATAACATGAAAATCACTTCCACTCAGACTAGTAATGAAACAGACTTGATATATGCACAAACAAATCTTTAGTAAAAATACTTCATTAAAAAAACTTGATCTTTTGGGTACGAAAGACTTGTAATGTTTACTATAGGTATACTAAATGTTTTGAAGATGCACATACTGAATTAAAAGTCATAGTATAAATACTTAACGTGTGCAAACGTATATATACAACTCATTTATATTATACAGAGTCCATTGCAAAAGGGTTAACGAAGTTGAAAATTTTGTTTGATACTCAACATGGTTTCACTAGGGTAAAATCTTATGTTACTAATTTTTTGACATTCATTGAAGAGGTTACTGCTGATGTAGGGTGAGGGTGAGGATTTGGTGCTGCATACATAAATGAGTGAAGGGTTAGGATTTGGTGCTGCTTACATAAATGAGGGAAGGGTGATGATTTGGTGCTGCTTACATAAATGAGGGAAGGGTGATGATTTGGTGTTGCTTACATAAATGAGGGAAGGGTGAGGATTTGGTGCTGCTTACATAAGTGAGGGATGGGTGAGGATTTGGTGCTGCTTACATAAATGAGGGAAGGGTGAGGATTTGGTGCTGCTTACATAAATGAGGGAAGGGTGAGGATTTGGTGCTGCTTACATAAATGAGGGAAGGGTGAGGATTTGGTGCTGCTTACATAAATGAGGGAAAAGTGAGGATTTGGTGCATCTAGATTTTCAAAAAGCATTTGTCACATAAAAGGCTCGTTATAAAAATTATTTGTATAGGTTTGGGGGATTAGATGGATTATTAGACCAAAAAATGACTGAAAAGAAGTGCAGAGGGTTGTTATAAATGGAGTTCAGTCAAACTGGATTAACTTCATAAATGGAATACGTATGGGCTCAGTGTTGGGAACTTTGCTCTTTTTCATTTACATCAACAATATAGATAAATGGTTTGCCATATACATTGCATAAAATTGCTGATAATATTAGGATCTTGGGTGTTGGAGGAGGATGCTTTACAAAATGATTTAGATAACTTAGACAGCTGAGCAAATAATTGACAGATGGGTTTTAATTAAAATAAATGCAAGGTAATGCATGTGAGTTATCATAAGTTCAATTGTAAGTATAATTTTGATGGGAATAACCCCAACAGGGTCCTGGCAGAAAAAAGGGTCTTCGTTGATCACTCTTATGCCGTCCAGACAGTACGATGTTGCTATTGGTAGGACAAATAGGATATGCACTTGTATCTTCAGAGATATCTACGGATGTTATCATTTTATTGTATAGGTTACTTGTTAGGCCTCATTTGTAATTGTGTTCAGTCTTAAGTTCCTTACCCAAGAAAGACATTGAATCATTGGAAAGGCTTCAAATAATGGCTACAAAGATAATACCTGGGATAGAAAGGTTGTCACATAACTACAGATAATGATCTCTGAAATCACAAATTCATGGTACAAATATATGAAATCTTGATTTACATTGAGAGCAAATGTAAATCTTTATACTGATGGGGAAATGACAAGTGGTTTTATCTAGCACGAGATATTTTTCAAGGCAATTAGACACAAGCTTTTAAGTTTTGCTGATGGAAAACAGGATTTTGGGGAGCATTTGGCACAGTTAATTTCTTGTCCTGCTTATGAATAAAAATCAAAGAAATTATATGACATTATATGAAAATGCAAATTTTTATTATAATCTACCTCCACAGGTTTAAAAAGAATATAAAATACTAGTAGGGACCTGTGAATAATCCATTGTGATGGTAAAATGTCCAAGAATAAAAATACTTCCTGTTTAGAAAATTACTAGAGTTGATGTAAGCCCCCCTAAAAATTTAGAGAATTGCTAGAGTTGATGTAAGCCCCCCTAAAAATTTAGAAAATTGCTAGAGTTGATGTAAGCCCCCCTAAAAATTTAGAAAATTGCTAGAGTTGATGTAAGACCCCCTCAAAATTAGGGCACTACAATGTACACAAAGATTATTCTATATCTTTCAAAGTTGAAAGAATGTATCTCTGTGATGAAATGGTGGTAGGGTTATCACACTTGCTAATTTTGATAAGCTGGACCATAAACAAAATAATAACCATGAACACAGCAGTGTGCATTCACACATGCACATTAGTGAGCTCTTGCATTTAAGCGAGTCAAACCCAAACAAATGAAATAACAGACCCAACCAACAATATGACTGACAAGTTGAAATGCTCTTCAGCTAATGGGGAATGTTTAAACTTAGGTAAGTTTATCAGCAATCATATATTTCAAAGTAATAAATTGAACATAAACTTTATCTCAAAATTTTAAAATTATAACAAAGCTTATTCATAAACAACATTTAGAGTTTGCCTTCCATCCACCAACAAATAAAGATTTTGAGATGACCCCACCCTTTAACACCCTACATCTCATTGTCCATGAGAAAATCATGGTTATTTGAGAAACAATCCAGAAACTTTCACTTTTTTACCTTAAATCACTTTAGAATATTCAACATTGTCTAAAGCATCAACCTGCCAAGATTGTTTGAGATTGACTTAACAGGCTAGGAGTAATTAACCAACAGGCTTTACAAAATAGAAATCAGGTTAAGTTCTATTTTGATCCCCTTACGACATTCCCTGTAGTTCGTAGTATTTACGTACAAGTTTTGGTTGAGATTGGCCCAATAGGCTCAGAGGAGTTAGGGTGCAAAAATACACATTTCATCTTTATATATATATATATATATATATATATA